ATGTCGTTATCGCTGACAATTTCCATTTTTCGTAAATTTTGTTCGGTTAGGAATAGTCGAGCGATCTTCCACAAAAGGCTGACAAGTCGTGGAGGATGGAGTAGGTAGATACATTGACAACTTCCGGATACCTTAAACGGAAAACCGTATTGGGGTGGGCACTGTAAACTGGCTGGAGCGTTGATAGAAGAGTCCTGAATTTTTTTGTGTACCTATGAAGTGAAAGGTCAGTTGGTGACAAGTTAGGCTGCTTACCAGGAAGGTCTTTCAGGGCGTGACGAGCTTTTTGAAAACGGTCTTTTGCATGATATAGGGGCAGATGCGGGAACCACAGAACCATGTTCAATTTTTCCTGAACGGCCCTCTGAATACCAGAAAAGGAGGTCCCTAGTTCGATTCCTCGTGGTAACAAATTTTTGCATTTCGAGTTGACGTGCCAAAATTCGCGCAAAATGGAGTTAGAACCAACCAGAACAATCAGAACTCCATTTTGCGCGAATTTTGGAACGTCAACTCGAAATGCAAAAATTTGTCACCAAGAGGAATCGAACTAGGGACCCCCTTTTCTGGTATTCAGAGGGCCGTTCAGGAAAAATTAACACATGGTTCTGTGGTTCCCGCATCTGCCCCTATATCATGCAAAAGACCGTTTTCAAAAAGCTCGTCACGCCCTGAAAGACCTTCCTGGTAAGAGGAACACATGGGAGGGGGAGCAAGTCTCTGTCGAATGCATCAGTTTATCTAAGCCTGCGATCACTAGGACGTTCAATAGGTTCCCAACTTATATGGTAGGACCAAATCGGACCGAAACATTGATTTTACATCGCTTTGCCCCCCTTCCCGTTATTTTATATAGGCCAAATCGCACCTCAGGGCATGCGATTTGGATGGAAGTGGAATTCGAGGCGCATCCCGGATGAGCAGTCAATCCTAATACTTTATCCTCTACTCGTGGAAGTCGAAAGGAAAACCTCACCACTTCTTGCCAGAGATCCGATCGTAATTGCCAGAGTTTCATATAGCCGCTCATTGGATTCACATAATCAGTGATGTTGACTGTGGCGAGATCAAAATACAATAACATGGTCGTGACGCGATTTGACTGTTTCCGGTTCACGCCTGAAAGAATGTAGCGATGTCTCTGAAGCTTACAAAGACGTAAGCGATTGATGAGGAATTAAAATCCCCTTTTCTATCGAGAATGTGAGATCTACTTTGGCGAATTTCTTAGAATAGTCATGCTGATCACCCATGATTGACTAGAGTATTAGCAAGTGTAGCCGTCACCACGCGTTTGTTGGTCTGAGGATCAACCCCCGGGTCGAACCGCTTTCGTTCCACCAAGCCCGCCATGCTTAAGGGTCGTCATTTTCAGTATCATCTACACTTATAGAACATTTTTTGGGTAAAGTGGCTCCAGTAGAGTGTGGTGTGGGCTATACGAGTAAAAACACAAGAACGATTGGGGAAGGTACTGTTTGCGGCACATTTTGAGAGGAACTCCTTGAGGGATGATAATTATTGGGCCATCTTTTCGACCCGTTTTCGTGCCTAACTCGGCTTGAAATCATAAGACGGCCCGCTCCTCTCCCACAAAATTTCTTTGGAACCTGGTGCTCTTGTGAGAAAAGTTCAGGACGTAAATCTAGAAATCAGGGATGTTTCTTCGCAATGCAACTGTAATTGTAACTTACTCTAGGAATAAGTTGTAGTAACAATTCCGAATAGCCAAAGCAGTGTATCAAGTAATCACTGGCTTTGAACGTTTTGATGAACTGTAAAAGGGTAATTAAAATTTTATATAAATCCTCCAGTAATGTAGGAAATAAAGAAAGGGAAAGGAAAAATATGGAAACAATGAGGGTTTTCAAAGGAATTTAATGATTTTCGCCAGACTACGAATAATAAACTCCAGAATGAAACAAAGTGCTACAAGTTAGCTACAGAAGTGTCGTGGCAGTTCCTTTTATGTCTGTTCATTTTTTCAATACTGGAAAATTAGTCACACAGTAAATCAGGAAGTAAATCGTGGCTCATTGATATTGCAAGCGCGGATATGAGGTTCCATTTCCCACAACCAGAAAGACACCTCAACTTCGATCTTCAATTCCTATCCCCGGCAGTACCAACTTTTTTTTCGGGATGGTCCAAACAGTCTTCGCAACCGCGCGCTCAAGTGACCCACGGTCCGCACTCCTTGTTACTTAGTTAGCCCAACGCACCTCTTTTGGCTGAGCCCAAGCTCGTTCGACGAACATGAAAGCGTTGTGCTCTTCGGACCATACCGAGTCACCAAGACGAGATGAAGCAATGAATGGAAGAAATGGTTTGATGTGCGGCATCTCAAAGTATCTGAAAAACGGCCTCTGAACATTTGAAAAGTGTGAGAATTATTGTTAGATCTGTGAAAGCGGAAGCAAGTAATGTTCATCTGAAGAACTAGTCTTCACCACTCCTTTTGCTATCATCGTATGTCTTTTTTTCGGAAATTAAGCCAAAGGCTAAAGTGAGCTGGTCCTTCTTGGGTTGAGCCACGCATTTTGCTTCGGTTCAAAACCATGTCGGCATTTGAATGCACTTTGGCCCATACAATAAATATGGGGATCACGTGATGTGAAGTTCAGTGTTTTTATCCCCTAGATTAATCTGTTACTACAGGGGTGGCCAAAAAAAGAGTCACTTTGCCCATGGCGCACATCATCAAACTTTTCGTCGCACAGGATGCCGTGTTGATGAATGTTTTACGGCAGAATATTCCTTAGGTGTCCCCCATAAGCAGAAGCAGGCCCTCCTTCACTGCCCCCACCGTCTTCAGAATATGACGTCATCTGCCGTCACCGTCGAGCTCAACGAGGCTTACCGTAATCGCTCCGGCCTGAAGCTGCTACATAATTTCTTCAATCGATTAAATGGTGAATTC